GTTTAAGAAATAAAGGACAAAAAGCGTCCTTTATTGTGAAAAAACCATAAATGACAGGGGGCTAAAATAAAGGACTGTCCTTTAAAATAAAGGATGGATGGTCACCGTAATTATGGGTGTCGGCCGCTGTGTAGTGGTAAGCAGTGCCCGCTTCCACTCCGCAACGCCTGGGTTCAAGCCCTGGTCAAAGCAACATCGCAAAAAATATAGAAAAAAGGTTTTTTCTTAACAGCGGTCGTCCCTCGGCAGGCAATGGCAAACCTCCGAATATATTTCTGCCATGAAAACAGCCTCTCATTGAAATACAATCGCCGTTCGGAGTCGGCGTAAAACTGTAGGTCCCTCCGCTTTGTGTGACAACATCAAGGCGCACGCCACAAGTCGGAGGAGAAGCTCGGCCAAACACTAACATATGTGTAAGCGCCAATCTATTATTATATTATTAATTTTAGACAGCCATACTTTTACTTTTGCAGGGATACCAAATTCAGGCATCGCGGCATAGAGACCATTTCTTTTCGTGCTGTGGTGTTTTGACACCTGATCCATGGTGGATTTGCCAGGTCTAAAGCCACACTGATAAGGCTCAATCAGTTTGTTGACGGTGGGCTTCAGTCTTCCCCACAATACGCTTGTAGCCTATGCTTAGACGGCTGATGCCCCAGTACCTGAGCAGAGCACACTTAATTCCAGTCGTCGGGCATACGCTCGGCGGACACCTATTCTGCATAAGATTTTACACATGCACCTTAACCACCCCCTGCCACCGTACTTGAATAGCTCAGCTGGCATGCCGTCATCTTTGTTGCGTTCTGGACATCGGTTACTTCGTCGCAATGATTGTTCTTACAAGAGTCTGCCGAGGTATTAAAACCTTCCGTAGCCGCCCTACAAGAAAAGGACTTTTTTCTGACCTCTTCACTAACACACTAAAATATACACCAGTACACAAAAAATGATTTGTAAAAATAACCTTAGGAAATACAATAAGTAAAAAAGAGACCTTTTAGCACTGCTGGTAAAATACCCATGTGAGAAAGGGACGCATAGTCACATGTACACAAAAGAACTGGTCAGGTTTTTCATATTACATAAGCACTGACCGTCATTTCACTGGTCGTTTGCCAGTAAGATTTCTTGTAGGGGGTCTAACGGTCTGATAAAATTTTCTACCGTTTTTCCTGTCGGCCAGCATTTTAAGCTCTTCCTAATCACGTATTTCGGCCCCTCTCTTTTTATTGCTGAAGATACCAGACCTACATATGTATGTACATGTTTTTTACGGAATTGACAAACTTTTTTTCAAGAAAACATTTCGCGGAAAATTTGCATTGACTTTCAATTCAGCGAAATATTAATTTGTAAATATTTGTTTCGCATTTAATTTTCAGCCAAATTCCTAAGAAAAACTGATAATAATAAATAATAATAATAATAATAGATTGGCGCTTACACAATATGTTAGTGTTTGGCCGAGCTTCTCCTTCGATTTGTGGCGTGCGCCTTGATATAGTCACACAAAGGGGAGGGATCTACGCTGACTCTGAACGGCGATTGTATTTTTATGAAAAGCTGTTTTTCATGGCAGAAATACACACTGAGGTTTGTCATTGCCTGCCGAGGGGCGACCGCTATTAGTAAAAACGTTTTCTTTTCTTTGGTTTTTGATGTTAGTCGGAAACTGGGCTCGATCCAAGGCACTGCGGTATGGTAGCAGTGATCGGACTTCTACCACATTGTGGTAGATCTGCCACTTTTTTGAGCATCTACCACATCTACCACTCAAGTTCTGAAATCTACCACATATTCGCGTTTTTATGCAGTTTTATTTTTGCTCGACATAATTTTCTTAATTTTAAGAGCAAAAATTGTCAACACTAAACACTATATGGTAACAGGAATGATATAATACAAGATTCCGCATTCCCGGTGACGATGAAATTTCTTAAGTAAAAGTAAACAAAGCCGAATGGGAGGATAAAATAAATTGTAAACTAGTAAATTTTCTCAGTAATAAATTTTTCGACAGAAAACGTGGTTTTATTGTGTTAAATTGCAAAATATGTGATTTATAAAAATAATTAATAGCGAAAATGTTAAAAAACGGCATTTTTTGTGGAAGTATTAGCAAATTTAAGTGTATCTAAAGTTTCTGGGGCGTTGTTTACTTTTACTTGAGAATTGCCAAAATCGGCAAATCCAAATTAGCTGTTTCTGGAACGTGCCACATTTGTTCGCTACTTCGTGATGTGATAAAAAGAAAAACTGGCAGCACTCCACAAGGTTGCAGAAATTTCTTATAATATGTTCGAAAAATATCTTGATATGGAAGGAAGGAACTGCTTTACACTGTCAAGGAAAAAAATTGCCAAAATTCATCGCAATTTTTAGCAACTCCAATCTTGCACTTTATTATACCAAAATTAAATTTTTTTTTAGAGTCTAATTAAAAATTTTGCAATTTAGGTGAAACCTTGCAGATTTTTTTTAATTTTTGTACAAAGTTTGATCCAAACCCAGAGATCTACCACTTTTTTTTTTAATCTACACACATAATTTTTTTAAAGTCCGATCACTGTATGGTAGTGCGCACTTCTAAAGCGGTCAGAAAAACTGATAAGATGGTTTAATTATTCACTTAACGATAATAATCTAAGTGCCGATATGTATTTACATTAGGATGGCTCATATTTTGGAAAAATTCATTCCAAGATATATACCCACATACATGCATGCGATTAGAAAAACAACAACGAAATACAAAGTTTTATTCGAATTAGGTGAAATTGAAAGGTGTCCTATAGCCACAGTTTTTCCCCCTTTTCAGTTTGGTGACCCACATATCGCACATTTGCTGCAAGAGTGTCATAACCCAAGAAATATGAAATTGAGTTAAGTATCCAGTAATGACCGCTATCTGTTCTTCTGTGTTGTGGCAAAATTGTATAGCTGTACCGATTACCAGTAGCTCATTGGAACAAAATTTATATTAATTTTTACTATGGAATTACTGATATATAAATTCCAAACTTTAAAACCGTTTCTCTCCAGTTTGATTTTTTGTATTATGAACACTTTCAACTCCAAGCTGACATTGTTAATCCTATACTCGTTTCGTTTATTTTAATCATTAGAATCAATTTGAAAAAAAAATAGAGAATCTCCTTCCTTAAATCTTTCCAAACATTTACCGCGACTTAGCCAACGTACTTCCTATATAAAAGCAAATCTCCGTAATTACTTTCCAATTCTTCACTCAATGGTGCAACAGGTCGATTTAATCTGACCTTCAAGGCACCTTTTCTCACTTGGCTGTTTTTAATAATAACTCGACTCCAGCGCCACTTGGCAGCACGTTTTTGCAATAGTATTGCTCTTACCATTACCAATACATATTTAAAATATTAGCCAAATCGGATCATAAATAAGATTTTTAGTAATAACGCAACTACAGCGCCAACTTACGGATTAAATTGTGAAACTATACCACCCAGACCCAACCACTTAAACACACACAAAAAATTAGACGGATGCAAATTTAAGGGCTTCCAAATGGTTATGTTAATACTATGAATAGTAGCGGCAAGTTTTTACTGCATGTTTTATGGAAACTTGAAAAACTCGAACATATCTTGACCAATTTTCATGTTCGAGGTATCACGAGTAACGTACTATTTGCTACTGCCATCAATTTTGACTTTCTTTAAACATTTTAGACCTTGACCTAATTGTCCTTGAGTTGGACACTTTCAGAAGCGTTTCTAATAATTTAAGTTTTCATTAAGAGAAACTTTTGTTTATATATTATTTTAATTGATAACCCCACGTAGTGGAAAATGGGCGCTTTTGAATGCATTTGTACTTTTGAAAATCGTAGTATTAACGTAATTCTTGGAATATTTTAATTTTCAAGGTTTTCTTAAAAAGATATTTTTTCTCACTATTTATATTGTTGAAATAGCAACTTATTTACAATCCATGATTTTTCAGCAAACAAAATTGTCTGAAGTATTTAGGTTTTTCATTGATGCTTTGAAAATTGTACTATGCAATTACATCAAATTGGATCCAAAACTTAAGATTCGACAAAGGCACGACTTTAACCCATCTGTTTAATAGATGAAATCTACTTTGTATGAAATTTAACGTGTTAGAAAATATTTCGCGAGTGGGTTGGCTGAAAAAACCCTGACCAGGATATTTTAATTAAATATTCAAAAATTATTATTTTTTACTTTTGCACTATAGAATGTGTTAAACAGATGAGTGAAAATTACTAATATTACCTACCTGTCCATAGCTACCAACCCGATAGGTAGGCCATATATAATTTGTTCAGTAAACAAATGCGTACAAAATAAAAAAATAATAATAATTTTTGAATATTTAATTAAAAATATCCTGGCCAGGATTTTTTCAGCCAACCCACTCGCAAAATATTTATTAAATTTCATAGAAAAAAGATCTCATCCATTAAACAGATGGTTGAAGGTCGTGCCTTTGTCGGATCTTAGACTATAATTTTTAAATTTGAAATGGTGGAAACATATAATAAGTTTATACTTATTCAACTTTTTTTCACGACTATCGTTTAAAAGATCGAGACTTCAACGTAAATAGGAAGGTTTATTGCTAGAATGTGGTAGCATGGTCAACTCAATTTTTAATGCTATATCAAAATTAGCGGTTAATCGTTTTTACGTTTTTTACCCGATTTCGGCACATTTTTTAGTTTCTAATTCCGCTCCTGATAATGTACAAATGTATGTATGTATGNTAGCGGTTAATCGTTTTTACGTTTTTTACCCGATTTCGGCACATTTTTTAATTTTCTAATTCCGCTCCTGATAATGTACAAATGTATGTATGTATTTATAGATATACGCATACATATCTGTAAATATGTGAGTATGCATGTGCCTTATCAAAAATTGAACTTGTAATCAAACCCGCAAATCTATTGAGCTCGGCTTAGGGAAAGCTGATGCTCTGCTTACTTAAAACACAGTCAGTTTTGGCAGCTGCTCGTGAAAGCATCGAAAAATATTGCGAATTCCCTTGCACTACTTTAAATTATTATTTTTTGCAAATTTAAATACGAGCATTATACTTATATATTGATTTTGAATACTACAATGAAAGTCCACATAGCCTTAATTTTGCTGTTGAGTGCAGTAGTAGTCAGAGCGCGTAGTTTTGGAGGATATAAATGCAAGGAATATCCCATAGAAAGCCGTGATTCATTTACACCGCTACCGCTGCGGACTGTACGAGTATGCGAAGTAATACAGAATGGGGTGCGGCCGACCCGTTTCCAAATGGCATCGGAGGCTGAAGATTTAGGTGAGGCCACTTGATTAATAATATATATGTATGTAGGATATATGTTTATATTTTTCTTTCTACTGTTTTATATGCCACAGTGAAGCCTTTGTTACCTTCGAATACCTTGTATGGCACAGGCGCTATTTGGCCCCGACAAGTGTTTCAACACACACCGATAAGTTGGCCCTTACAATCACATTCGTACAACAACGCCAAAGAACAATTTATTCCAACCCATATGCGATTGATTTCGCCATCAACTCATAGTTTTCAGACCTTCAATCAAATCGGATTGAATTCAAACAATCCTTGGAGCAATAACAACGAACAGAACCCGCGTAATATGATGGACGTAGATCGCTCTCTTCAACAACAACTGAATTCGCTTGTTGAAAATGTTTCCGAAGTAAAGGATTCCATCACCCATCTAGTACCATATCTCAAAAATATTCTAGATATTTTGGTGCTACAAAGCACACAAGTGAAAAGCGAGGAAAATTTAAATGTAAACTTAAAACTAGATCATTCTCTTGAAGGTTTACTGAGACAGTTCCTTCAGCTGACAGAGTCGAGCACAGAAATGGAAGAAGAGCAAATTGGTAATAAAATTTTAGCAGGCATAGATGACGAAAAAGTTACAACAGAAGATAGTTCAGAAGAAAAGACTACAGAAGTGCCGAACATTTTTTTGGCTAGCTCTACTGAACAGGATACCAGAGAAGATAGTGAAGAGGCCCATATTGTTGCCGGCAAAACTTCATTGGAGAGCGTAGACAGTTGGATACGTAGACGTTTCGGACCATCTGTAAAGCCGGGTTCAGGTGAGGAAGAAATAGATAAGACAAGCGAAGAAGAAAATTCCGCAGAAAAATCTGACGAAAGCTTTGAAACATGGTTCAATTACGTTTACCGTAGCTTTCTAAAAGAGAAGGATTACAACCTAAAAGCGAGCAGCCATAACGCCCATGAAGGCGGAGAAAATGTACAAAACCAAAGCAGGGAAAATTCTAAGGAAGATAGCGAAGAAAATGGGTATGAGGATGCGGTTAGTAAGTCATCAAAAAATAGTAAAGAAATTGGTGAATATCCTGTTAATAATAATAATGATAATAATTTAAACTATGAGACTATTTTCATCCCAAAAGCGGCACAAGAAGACAAAAAATCTGAATACCTGGAAAATGGCGATCGATATGATTATACAGCGGAGAGTAATAAAATCGTTAATTATGTAAAGCCTGATATCAAGGCTAGTAACTGCATTCAAATGGCACTCTCGATTGCCACTTTCGATGACAGAGAATTATTTAATAAATATAATAAATGTGTGAAAGATTTACTTGACCGTAATAATGTAAACCAAGTCAGCGAAACGAAGTTTGAAGACCACTTAGGTTCTACTGGATCAAAGGAAAGCGGAGAAGTCGAGAAAACAACCTCAAATTCGAATGAATCGAAGGACAGTAGGGAAATCGAATCAACCACCAGGGATTCGAATGAATCAAAAGAAAGCGGGGAAATCGAGTCAACTACGCCAAATTCGAATGAGTCTGAGGATAGCGATGAATACTACGTATAATACCCGTAATGAAATAAATATTTTACATGAAAAATTAGTTCGATACACATATTTTGAAGTTGTAATAAAATAGATATTTGGTAACTAAAATATTTATGTATATAGAAATCTGCATTTATAATAGCCGGTTTCACCAGCAATTTAAATGGAAAATGATTTTTTATTTTCTGTCAACAATTTAAGTGAAGAACGATTTTAATTTTTTGAATTTGATATGAAAACTGACAGAAAATAAAAAATCATTTTCCATTTAGATTGCTGAAACCGGCTGTAAGTATAACTAAAAAAAATTTATTTGATTTTACGCCATCAGTTTCCGCTTTGTGAAAATATATTGAAAATGTGCTGAGATAGGGCGTTTTTGAACCGAATTCTAAGATAGGGCGTTCTTCAACCAAATTCTGAAATAGTGCTTTCTTGAAAAGTTTTCTGAGATAGGGCTTTTTCGAACTGGCTGCCAAGATAGGTTGATCTTCCACTCAGTTTTCGATATAATATCACGTAGATAGGTACAATTATATGTATAAGCAATTATTACATATGCGCGTAAATATATTTGGCGGGTTATAATGTTGTGGGAATTTTCAATATATTTAAAGTTATAGGTGTCCAGATAAATACATACATAGGTAAAATTTTAGCTAAATTGCATATTTTTTATAAACTACTTATTAATAGTAACATTTTGGAGTTATTTTATTTGATTATCCTTCCAACGCAATATCGCAAAAAATATAGAAAAAATGTTTTTTCTTAACAGCGGTCGTTCCTAGGCAGGCAATGGCAAACCTCCGAGTGTTTTCCTGCCATGAAAAACAGCTTCACATAAAAATACAATCGCCGTTCGGAGTCGGCGTAAAACTGCAGGCCCCTCCGCTTTGTCTAACTACATCAAGGCGCACGCCACAAGTCGGAGGAGAAGCTCGGCCAAACACTAACATATGTGTAAGCGCCAATCTATTATTATTATTCCAAAGAGTTGTACAGTCCTTTGGGCTTTATCACATTTGTAAATTTTTTCATCCAGAAACTGACTGTAAATTATAGGGACAACACGCCTATTTGTAAAGTAATCACTAAGAGTATTCCAGGATTAGTCTCCATGGGGTATTCATTAATTAGTCGCAACTAATCTCATACGAGTATTATTGGAGATCAATTAGTCCCCGACTCATCGCTAGCGGGTACAATTAAAATTTATTCATACATACATATATACATCCTTAGGCAACAAAACTTCATATGCGGCGTTAGCATGTAGGCAGAGCAGGCCCTCGGCGCAAATTTTATTTTTTTTAAATGGCGTATTCTCCAATATTGCAACCTTGCTGCTTTCTTGATGTAGGCAGAGTCGACTAAATTTTCAGGTAGAAAGTGATGCTCTCTCATAAAAAGTAACACTGCCGCATATAACTATAAAATTTTTTTATGGCCGAATGTAGATGTCACCGAAAAATGTAAAAACCTCGACCAAAATAAACAAATTCAATATTTCCTTGCAGAAATACTTTAAACTCAGGGATGTACGGCGAATTGTTTTTTGTTTGCTTGTGGTACGGTCTAATATAAGGTGCATTCTTTTGCAACCGAGCTACAAAAGAACACTCGGCGGCCCTGCATATATGTACATCGATGCCGCACAATGTACATTGGAGTAAACCTTTCGGAAAATTCTCGATTGTCAAAGAATTTAGAAGACGGGAACCACAAAAATGACGAAACGTCGAAACCGGTTTGTCTCCAAATCAAATTTGGCATAGGATGATGGAAATTCGTTCCAAAATACATCCCTATAGCAGGCACTAAAACAATTACATAAATAATCTATATCGATGTCGTTTTATTTCCACAATTTACCGTCCATATCAATATAAATATGTTAATGGAGCAATCTTATGATTTGGCGTTCATTAAGGCAGATTTCGCTTAAGTTTAGAGACTGCGAAAAGTGTAAAAGAGCAATTCCAAATGTTGAACGCCGACATAAATTACAAAAAATACTCTTTAAAGTGTTTTGCCCAGAGACCCTGGCTATAACAACAATTGCCAATTTCAAAGATATATTATTTACTGACTCCAAAACTAGGAGTGCTTCAAAGCCGGCGGCAAACAGAATTTGGTATGCTGAATACATACCCGAAGATTGACTACCCCGCCTTCCTCAGTTCAAGCCTACCAATCCTGAGTCGGTCGGAGGCTCAACTGGTAGAAATGTCTACGGCTTTCGAAAGTCATACCAAAGACTTTAAAATGGTACCACGGGGAGGGGATCCCTCAAAGTACCCTGTATTTATTATGGCCTACTCTTGGTTGCGGACCTTCGGGGAGTATCGTGGTGGTTGTGGTTTAATACCTAAGTGCAGGTATAACCAGTAATGGTTCAATGTGTAGTTGCATTGCAACAGGAAGTCGGGATCCGAAGAACGGCAGAGGTTTGGGTGGGCCTCGAACCCTACCAAGGTGGTTAAAGTGTCCTATCGATATTGCCTTTTGGTACCGAAATGTTTGCATTCGTCGGGATGCTTACATTTCGGGGCGTTTATCATCGCATTGAGTTGTCGGGCACACGTGGGTTAAGGTTGTTTTTAACAACAGGTATCCACGTTAAACCCTCACGCATCTGTTGCTTGCGCCAGTTACCGCGAGATAAGAATTACTAGCGATACTGTGTGAAAGACTGAGGCCCATCGTCAACGAACTCATCAGTTTGGGTTCAGACCTGGAAAATCCACCATTAACCAGATTTTTACAGTTCGACAAATTCTGGAGAAGACACTCGATAATAAAATCGATACACCATAACGATTTAAAAGCCTATACGATGCCATGTCTGAATTCGGGATCCGCGTGTGACACACATAGGCTTCGAAATGGAGGCCTGTTTTGATACCACGACTAAGAGTTTTTACTCCCTCTTGCTAAACCATTTTGAATCCTTCACGAAACTCGTCTAGGTCACTAAAGAAAGGAGACCCCAGAAAGCGCAATCTGCTTCTCGATGATGCCGGGCACTTACAGAGAAGGTGAAGAACTGTCTCCTCCTACTCATAGTTCTTGCAACTTCTGCAGCATCTATGGTAAGGCACTCCGATTCATTCTGCATGATTGTATGAGATATATCCTCCCTCTTTAGAGAGTATAAGCATAAAGCTATATTTTTTCAGCATGCAGGAGTAACCCAGAAATCCCGATTCCCATTGCCCTCTCTCTCTTAATCGAAGTGCAGCAAGATATGCCTTTTGCTGACCTACTATATCTAGTGGTAGAAGATCCAAAAATATATTTAAAGCATCATTTGGCATTGTCCGGATTGCTACGCTGATGCAGATCATACTAATCCTCTGTAATTTGCTGAGTAGGGTATTAGAGTGAGTAAAACATTCAGATGCGCGCCGTTTGAGACCAAACTTTAGACAAGGCGATTCGTTCTCGTGCAATCTGATGTTGAAAAGCGTAATAAGAGCTGCCAATTTGAATCCCAAAGGCACTATATTCAGAAAAAGCACGATGATGCTGGTGTATGTAGATTATATTAATATCGTCGGCAGCGAAGGATTTCCAAGCAAGCATTATCCCTCACGCTGGGCAGAAGGATCTTATCTACAGCTATGGGTTTGTTAACTTCCATTAGAAGGCATGGGGAGAGGTTGGGGTTCCCCATAACGACCTTTGAAAAGGCTGCAGAAATGAAAACGAGTCAGAAACTTTGCGACACCTGTTATGCAAAAAGAAGATTAATGTATTAACAAATTTTCGAGGACATATCCGACATAGATAAATTAGGAATACAGCAACTATTAAGTCTCATAGACTTCACACGATGGTTTGAATAGGAAGGCTTTAACAATGCGCGTGGTGTCACAACGGGCCCACAATCCGGGCCTAGGTGTGCTGATGTGGTCCTTGGCAGCCGCTTCAATCAAACCTAACCTAAGAATAGCCACAGTTTTCAAAACAAATTCCAGCATTTGCCTATTTTCAACCGACTTCAAAAAAAGGAGGAGGTGGTCAGTTCGTCGGAATATTTTTGTTTTTTTATGTGTGTTTCCGCATAACTTTGGACCACGTCAACCGATTTCGATAATTCTTTTTGCATCGAAAAGGTAGGATCTCAGAGGTAGTCCCATACTAATCTGGTTTAGATCCGGTCATTGGATCATGAGATATATATGNTCCCATACTAATCTGGTTTAGATCCGGTCATTGGATCATGAAATATATATGGTTTTTTTTATATGAGAATTGAAGTCGGTTTTTTTTGCTAAAAATTACTTGTTGGTATATGCCTTGCGGGTGTTTTTGAAGAAACTTTATTGTAGAGGAATCTTAAAACAAAATCACCAGTTCGTTCAGTATATACATGTATACATACATTCAATAATTTTTTAATTCAAAAAAAGGCCTTGTTTACGCATATGAAATTTTTAGTAGTAAACATATGTATGTATTAGGGCGGTTCTATTTGTAAGGGAGATTTTTTCGACGATGAGCATATGGCGCAGAAGGATTTACGTGTAATTCTCAGAAAATTCTCAGAGTTCGTCAAATTTCGAAAATAGGTTTCTTATCATTTTGCTGTAGTTTCTTAAAGAAGTTCTTAAATTTTGAATAAATACGTGCTATAGCGGTTTTGGGTGTAAGAATCCATTTATGCACTTATCTTCTTTTTTAAACTTCCACCAGAGGGCGCAACAGTGAAACTTTTCACATTTTCTTCGAAACCTATTTTCGCCATTTGGCCAACTATATATTGATTCTAGACCCATGGTTTCTTCGAAAAATCTGCTTTGAGTTACACATAGAAACCTCCTATGCTATACGCGCATAGTAAAAAAATTGACCCGCCCTAATATGTACATTAGAGCGGTAAAAAAAAATAAAGTCGGAGTTTTAATGCCGGCACACCCTAGAATTGATCTATATCCAAAAAAATATACCCCTATTATTTTATTTTGAAATCAAAAAATATTTAGGGAGTGCTCAAAGCGCTCAAAGTTTTCCATGTATTTTATATGGAGAAAAAACAATTTTTCGTAGAAATGGTATACAACTCTTGAAAATCAGTATTTTTCGACCGGAAAACTGTTGTTCT